AGCATCTACCAGGGTAACTATGCAGTGGAGAAAGAGGAATACTCTGACTTTTCAACCAAGGACTGTTGGATACAGGGTCTGAACTGATATGGATCCCAAAGAACCAAAACCATCATTGCAGTACTGTGGTTTTATGGAAGCCCAGTGATAAATGGAGTCCTGGCCAAAGTCCATCTCAATGGGTCTGGCCTCACTCTTTATTTTTACAATCTCTAAATATGCATATTATTGGGCTATACTTAGAAGCTGATGGAATCCTTCGGCCGGCACTGATAGCTCTTGCTTCTTGCCCCAGATGCTTCTCAGATGCTGCAGGCTTGGGGCAGAGTTAATGATCTAGGGGCGTCTCTTGACCATTGGGTTATGTAGACATAAAGTCAGTAAAAACACAGAAGACTTGAACACCTATTAACCAACTTGACCTAAGTGACATTTATAGAACACTCAACCCAATAACAGCAGAATACACATTCTTTTTCTTTCATGTACACAGAACATTTGCTTAGATTGACCATATTCTAGGCCATAAAATAAGTCTCAATAACTTAAAATGATTCAGATCATAAAGTATGTCCTCTGACCACAATGGAATTGAATTAGAAATCAATAACAAACACGTGGGAAATCTCCAAATATTTGAAAGTTATATAACACATCTCTAAATAATCCATGGGTCAAAGAAAAAAAAAGAGGAATCAAAGTACTTTTAATTGGATGAAATGAAATGAATGAAAGGAAAACATGACAATATTTGTGAGATTCAGCTAAGGCAGTACTTAGAGGGAAATTTAAGGCCAATATCAGAAAAGAAACAAAGATCTCAAATCAGTGACCTCATCTTTTACCTTAAGGAACTAGAGAAAGAAACTAGAAGAGCAAATGAAAACTAAAATAAATAGAAAAAAGGAAATAATAAAGATTGGAGCAGAAATAGAAAACAGAAAATCAATAGAGAAAATGAATAAAACCAAACACTTTTTTTGAGAAGACCAATAAAATTAATAAACCTCTATCTAGCTATACTGATCAGCAAAAGACAGAGACACAGGGAGAGAGAACATGCAAATCACCAATGTTAGGAATGAGAGTGGTGACATCACTATAGATTCTACAGATATTTAAAGGATAATAAGAGAATGTTATAAACAATTTTATGCCAATGATTTTGACTACTCAGATGAAATGGATAAATTCCTTGAAAGACACAAACTATGAAGCTCATTCAGTAACAAATAGATAACCTGATTAGCCCTATATCTTTATATGATGATTAGCCCATATATTAATTAAAGAAACTGAATTTGTAGTTAAAAAGCTTCTCACAAAGAAAATTCCAGGCCCAGATATCTGCACTGTGAATTTTAGCAAATATTTATGGAACAAAGATTACCAATTCTATACAGACTTTTCCAGAAAATTGAAGTTGGGAATTCTTGACAACTCATCCTGTGTGACCAGCATTATTCGGCTATCAAAACCAGACAAAGACATTACAAGAAAAGTTCAGACCAATATCTCTCTTGAACATAGATGCAAAAATTCTTAACTATTTTAGCAACTCTAATACAAGAAAATTAAAAAGTATAATACATGAGGCTGACTTGGTGCTGTAGTGGTTAAGTTGGTGTACTCTGCTTTGATGGCCTGGGGTTCACAGGTTCAAATCCCAGGCATGGACCTGCATGCCGCTCATCAAGCCATACAAAATAGAGGAAGACTGGCACAGATGTTAGCTCGGGGCCATCTTCCTCAAGCAAAAAAAAAAAAAAAAACATTGGTAACAGATGTTAGCTTAGTTCAGGGCCAATCTTCCTCACATACACACATGGAAAAGGATAATACATAATGACCATGTGGGTTTTAAAAAAAAGGTTTTTTTTTTTTTTGAGGAAGATTAGCACTGAACTAACATCTGCCAATCCTCCTCTTTTTGCTGAGGAAGACTGGCCCTGAGCTAACGTCCATGCCCATCTTCCTCTACTTTATATGTGGGATGCCTACCACAGCATGGCTTGCCAAGCGGTGCCATGTCCACACCTGGGATCTGAACTGGTGAACTCCGGGTCGCTGAAATGGAATGATGTACACACTTAACGACTGCGTCACCAGGCTGGCCCCAATGACCATGTGGGTTTTATCCAGGGAATGCAAGGTTGGCTTAACATTTGAAAATTAATCAATCTAATTCATCATATTAACAAACTAAAAAAGAACCACGTGGGAGCTGGCCCCATGGCTGAGTGGTTAAGTTCATGCACTCCGCTTTGGCAGCTCAGGGTTTTGTGGGTTCGGATCCCGGGTGTGGACATGGGACCGCTTGTCAGGCCATGCTGAGGCAGCGTCCCACACAGCAAAACCAGAGGCACTCACAACTAGAATATACAACTATGTATTGGGAGGCTTTGGGGAGAAGAAGAAGGAAAAAAAAAAGATTGGCAACAGATGTTAGCTCAGGTGCCAATCTTTAAAAAAAAAAACGAACCACATGATCAACTCAGTAGCTGTGGGAGTATTTGACAAAATTCAACACACATTAATGGTAAAAACTCTCACCCAACTTAGAAGGTAATTGCTTCAATCTAATAAAGGGTATCTACTAAAAACCCACAGCTAACATCATACTTAATCCTGGAAGGCAAATGCTTTCCTTCTAAGATTAGGAACATGGCAAGGATGACTGCTCTCAGCACTTATATTCAACATACTGGAGGTTCTGGCCACCGTAATAAGGGAGATAAAAGAAAAGATAACCAGACTGGAAAGGAAAAAGTAAAACAGTATTTGCATATGACATGATCTTCTATGTAGGTAATTCTATTAAATCTACTAAAAAAAAGTTATCACTAGAAATAATAAGTGAATTTAACAAGGATGCAGTAAACAAGATCAATATACAAGAATTGTATTTCTATATACTAGCAACAAAACAACCAGAAATTGAAATTAAGAAAATAATTTTTTTGATATATGAATTGTATCTTTTTTTCTTTTTCCAGGTGTACCTCATTATATTTTGATTTCTGTGCAGATTACATCATGTTCACCACCCAAAGACTAATTACAATCCATTACCATACACATGCACCTAATCATCCCTTTCACTCTCCTCCCTACCCCTTCCTCTCTGGTAACCACTAATCCAATCTCTGTCTCTATGTGTTTGTTGTTATTTTTATCTTCTATTTATGAGTGAGATCATATGGTATTTGACTTTCTCTCTCTGATTTACTTTGCTTAGCATGATACCCTCAAGGTCCATCCACGTTGTCACAAATGGCTAGATTTCATCCTTTTTTATGGCTGAGTAGTATCCCATTGTGTATATATACTATATCTTCTTTATCCATTTGTCCCTTGATGGGCACCTAGGTTGCTTCCAAGTCTTAGCTATCATGAATAACGATGCAATGAACATAGGGGTGCACATATCTTCAGAGATTTCTTAAGTACAACACACGAGCATGATCCATAAGAGACAAAACTGGTAGAGCAGCCTTCATCAAAATTAAGAACTTCTGTTCGTTAAAATACCTTTTTTAGAGAATGAAAAAAACCAAAATATTTGCAAATCTGAAGGGGTTGTATCCACAGTATACAAAGAACTACAAAACCCTATAAGAAAAACAATTCAGTTGAAAAATGGGAAAAAGTTTGAACAGACACTTCACCTAAGAAGCTATATGGATGGAAAATAAACATGAAAAGATGCTCAACATTTTTAGTCAACAGAGAAATACAAATTAAAACCACAAGGAGATACCACTATACATAAATGTCTAAATTTAAAAACACTGACCATATAAAATGATAGTGGGGATATGGAGCAACTGGAACTCTTAACCACTGCTGGTGGGAAAATAAAGTAGTAAAACTGCTTTGTACAACAGTTTGGTAGGTTCTTAAAAGTTAAACACACACAACTATATGACCAAGCCATTCTACTCCTAGGTATTAACCCAAGAGAAATGAAAGTATATGTATACAAAGAATTTCACCTGACTGTTCACAGACTTTTATTTGAACAGTCCCAAACTGGAAACTCCAAATGTCTATCAAAAGTTAGATAAATTGTGTTATATTCATGCAACAGAATAGTACTCATCAATAAAGAGCAACAAGCTATTGATACAATGATAAAATGGACAAATCTCAAAATAATTGGTGAAAGAAACAAGACAAAATGTACATACTAATTTCATTAACATCAAATTCTAGAAAATGCAAACTAATAGAAAGCAGAATATGTCACTTGAGGTAGGTGGGGGGGCCAAGTATCATAAAGGGGCATGAAGAAACTTTTAGGGGGTGAGGAAATGAATGTTGATTGTGCAAATAATTTCAAGAGTGTATACATATGTTCACTCATCAAACTTGGCATTTTTTAAATACCTGTAGTTTATTGTGTTAATTATACTTCAATCAAGTTGTCAAAAACTAATGGAGATAATTTTCAACTGCTGTGCAAGGTTGCCACAAAGTGTGATATCAGCATATAACCTGACAGCTAAGGTATATTAATTTTTCCCCCCTAAGGTTGTCAAAAAGCTGCAACACAAGAGATCTGATACCAAAGTTGGCCTGAGAAATGCTTGTAAAGCTACCAATGTGAAAAACCACATTTTCATTTACCAAAGTCATTTTTCTCCTTTCCATCTTGTAAAAAAAGTTGAGATTCTTCTAATTTGGCTGTTTCAAAGTTTAAATGAGAGTGAAAAAATTAGGAAAGACCACGCAACCCACGCCGCTATCTCACGTCATTATTTGAAGCCATGCAAAAGGAGCCGGTTATTGGCCATTCCTCGCAAACGCAGGGGAACCCCGCCCTTCACGTCTCTGAACGCTGCTCTCCGTGTGCGTGGCCCCGTCCAGCGCGCCCCACCTCACGCCCCAGGCTCTGGCAGCCACGCGAGTGACGCGGCAGCTCCAGTCAAGACCAGATGCTGGCGCAGCGACGTGCGCGCAAGCGCAGTGTGGAGCCCGAGCGGCCGAGGCATGCGCGGTAAGTCTGCACGTGCGCGACGGCGGGCTAACGGTGAGCCGCGGTGGCGGGTAGAGGGCCGAGGGCCCAGCATGTGGGGCCAGGGACACTTTTCTAGAGCTTCTGAGGCGGAAAGTGTGAGGTCAGTAGTAGTCGTTTTGGTAGGTTCGATGGTGGCCGCTTGAAATACCGTATTTCCAACACTAGGTTTCCAAGGATGGAGTGAGGCCATTTCTCGGCCTTCCTTGGCCTTCGAGCCGGGCGTCTACTCCCGAGGGGGACGGGCCCCCAGGCTCTGAGTGAGGCCCCGGGGGGCGAAACCGGCCTGCGGAGAGCTCGGGCCTCAGTGTTCTCCGTGAAGACGGGGACAACACGCGGGCCTGTGGTGGCTGGAATTCTCTCTTCTCTCAAATTCTGTGCCACTTAAACGCCAAAGCCCCTTAGGAAGTAGGTGTCAAGCAGCCACCTAGACTCACTTAGTCCAAATTCTTGCCGTGAATCGGAGACTTGGAAGCGCCATTTGGTAATGCGGTTTTGCAGAAAGTCAGTGTAGCGTCAGTTCCTTCGTGGTCCTTCCGGGAAAAGTCTTTTGGGCTCCTTTTAGTATGAGATTTTAAAGCTATTCTAGAAATAACTTCTTAGAATGTGTTTTGGGATTCCTAAAGTAAACATTTTTATTTTTACTGAATTTAAGTCAATGTCTTCCAGAGAAATATAGTCTCCCTAAACAGATACCAACTTGGTTTTACAGTTTTTTGCTCAATTTAAAAGTTACTTTTGGACCAGTATTGGAGGAAGAAGTCTTGTTTTGAAGATGTTTTGATGCTTCTTAGTATGTGTGAAAAAAATTTCTTTAAGCAGTAACAAAAATCAGAAGAATAAAGTTAAGTATATTTTTAATGATCTTTTTTTCCTCCTGTGAGGCAGAGTTAACTATTCTCTTTTCATAATTGAGAGAGCATTTGAAACTTTAGTATAGTGATGTTTTTAGATAACTTTTAAAGCTCTTAAGAAAATTCTACATTTTCAGTTTCCTTCAATGAACTAATATTTATGTATGTGACGTGCAATATTCTAGAGTATTAAGTATAAAATTATGAACTAGACATTTATTTTGAAATATTTTGCATCTGGGAAAGTATATGTAATGAAAATTATTTTGCACTAATGGGCAAAATTTGATTTATTTCGCAGTCTTTAATTGCAGGTTATCTTCAAAAGCAGTAACCACTGTGCCTTTTAAATAGAATTGATTACCAGTCTGAAGTGTTTGTTCTATATATTATATCTGTAGTGTTTCTTTTTGTTTTAAATTATGGAAACCCTACTCTTGTTTTGAGAGGACATCAGTAACGTTAAAAGAATATGCACATTGTTCAGAAGTATTGATTTGTGTAGCTGATGAAAATGTACATGAATTATCCACTTCAGTGTCAGTTTGCAAAAGTTTGGCTAAAGAGATAATTTCAAAGGTAGAGATTGTATATGATGAAATTGCAAAGTGTAGTATACTCAAATAAGGAAATTAGTTATTGAAGAAGATATCTTTGAGGTTGTTTTTAATGTAGAGTTTGAATTTTGATAACTTTATTTAGGACAAGACATACTTGTAGGAATTTGGACATTCTGTGGTTTAATCTTTATTCACTGTTAATGAACAGATTGTTAGAACCTAATTCAAGGTATTGAATTGTTTTAGTTTTCCAGGAATTGTGCAAATGGATGAAGATACACATTACAATAAAGGTACTGACACTAAAAATTATTTTTGGATGTAAGAGCTAGATGATCTTGATTAATTTCTAATTTTCTTTGCATTGTGATTTGGTTTTAGTCGAAGATGTGGTTGGAAGTCATGTGGAAGATGCAGTAACATTTTGGGCCCAGGTAAATAGCAGCCTAGTTGATTTCCTCTGCTACTTCTTCCTTCACTAACCCAGGTCCTCTAACAAGAACAAAAATAAAAACCCTGGAATATGTGTATCATTGTCATTCTCAATGCTAATTTTTATTGAACGATATTTAACACAATGCATTATTGGAAGACAAATGGCTATAGCTGGGACTTTACGTGAGTAGTATGCTCATAATACACTGAGTTAAAATAGAGGAAAAAGAGAACAGTATGATTGTAATCGTGGTTTCAGAATTACTCTCAGTTTAACACGAGTGGTCTAAGCTGCTTAAATTACTGAAGATTCTGAGAAACTGTTGTATTTGTGAGGTTATGGCTCCCTCTAGGGGTCTTTTATAAGATTGTTTCTTGAAAGATACTAAATTTTTGCATCTCAGTCATTTTTTCTAATGGCTTAATTTTAAATTTGAGATACAATATCTTTCTTATCATAAAATTGAAAGCACTAATGGAACATTTCTAATTTTCTGTTGGCAGGCTTCAAGTCAGATAAGTTTACTCAGTTTAAAATAAATACAAAGCAAAGCTCCAAAGTGCTTATGTTCCAGGATTTAAGAAGGTGAATCCCTCTAATGCACACAATTACAAATGTTTAATTTTGTGAACTACTTGTGATATGTGAGGGAAGAGAATGACATTTCTCTATACTTCCTACAGTATGAGAACTTCTTTTTGTGGGAATGAATTGGCAATGTGGAAAATAGAATTTATGAGAAGAAAAGCTGTAGAAGAGTATGATTAGCCCAGGGTTCTTAATTCAATATAGAAAACATTGTAGAAAGGTGATATTCATACAAAACTTGTGACGAATTTGTGTCTCTGCTTATGCACATATCTTTAAAGGGTGCCCACATACTCTGGTTCTATGCCCATTATCTCTTATTAATTGCACCTGTGTCACTCTCAACAGTGTCCCAGGTTGGATGATATGTTTAAGCTCATTATATAGGAACAACATTTATTAGCTTAAATAAGATTTCTAGACCAGTGCTGTCCAGTAGAAATGTAATGTGAGTTACATAATCTAAAATTTAGCAGACACATAAAAAAGTAAAAAGAAACAGGTGAAATAAATTTTAATGAATGTATTTTATTCAGCTCAATATATCCAAAATATCATTTCAAAATGTAATCAGCACAAATATATTAGCAAGATATTTTATTTTTCTTTTTTCATATTAAGTTTTTGAAATTTGGTGTGTATTTTAGACTTAGAGCACATTTTAAATCCTACTAGCCACATTCAAGTGGATATTGGATATTGTATTGGTCAGTGCAGCTCTAAATTATGATTTTGATTGACCCTTCTGTGAAGTTGTTTGTTGAATGTGGAGCTGTGATTTTAAACTAGGAGTCAGCAAACTTTTTCTGTAAAAGATTAGATAGTAAATATTCTAAGGTTTGTGGGCCATATAGTTTTTTTCACGACCGTTGAACTCTATCAATTCTGCCATTGTAGTGCAAAGGCAGACGTAGACAGTACATAAACAAATAGATGTAACTGTGATCCTTTAAAACTTTATTTACCAAAACAGGTGGCAGAGCCATAATTTGCCAACCTCTGATTTGAACCATGAAGTTGAGGCTCCTGTAGAAATTGGAACACTTTTGAAACAGTTAGGAAACAAGTCTTGAATGAATGAAAAGATTGAGAGTTAAAACTACTAATGGCATCCATATGAATTGAATGATTATTTCACGAAGCAAATTGTAAAATTTGATTGGGTTTGGCATGGGATGTAGATGAAGAGTAAATAAAAATTTTGAAATGTGTGCAGGCAGGTCAAGATGTAGATCTACTCACGTATATTCTCTCTTTCTCCGCCACTATGGGTTTCTGCTATATAAGCCGCTTACATGAATACCGTTCAGAATTATTGGTAGGCCCAGTTGGATGAGTGGCAGCTGAAGGAATCTTAAGTATTTGACCTCTACCTTTATTTGAGAGAAAGAACTTTCATCTGTTTTAGCATATAGCAACAAAGCTAATTATGTAGAATATTTTGGTATATTCTGAAGTTAGTCTTAATTCCAGGGGTTTATTCACAAAGGCTGCTTCTAATATGTCTTGGGGTCAGTTTAAATTCAGCTCCCCTTTTTACTGCATAGTGATACTGATATTCATCATGGTGTTCTTGGAACTGCTCTTTCAGAGTTTCTTTTCAATCGTTAGAGATAATCATGTTCTTTCTAGCCTTACTGAATATTTTGTTGATGTATTTTTAAAGAACATATATATTTAACTGTTTGTTTTGAAATAACTTTAGACTTAAAGTTGTAAAATGAGTACAGAGACTTTCTTTATACCCTTCACCCAGCTTCCCTTAATGCTAACGTTTTACATAACTATAGTGCAGTTATCAAAGCCAGGAAATTAACAATGGTACAGTACTATTAACTGCAATCCTTATTGAAATTTCACCAGTTTTCTCATTGTCTTCTGTCTGTTCCAGGATCCAATTCAGGATCCCACATTGTATTTAGTTGTCGTATAGACTTAGTCTCCTCCAGCCGTTGATAGTTGGTTTATTTATCCTTGTCTTTCATGACTTTGACATTTTAATGAGTACTGGTCAGTTATTTTTTAGAGTATCTGTCAGTTTGGATTTGTTTGGCGATTTCTCATAAATAGATTGACAGTAATACCACAGAAGTGATGTTGTGTCCTTTTCAGCACACCGTATTGGAGATTCATGATGTTGACATATCTCATTATTGATGATGTTAACCTTGATCCACTTGATTAAGGTGGTAACAGGTTTCTTCACTGTAAAGTTAGTTTTTCCTTTTGTAATTAATATATGTTTTAGAGGGAGATACATTGAGACTATGTAATCTTGTTTCTCTTCAACTCTTCACTCCAAAATTTTATTATTTATTACTGTGATGATGATTTTCTAGTCCCCTCATTCCTTACACATTTATTAATTGGATTCTTCTGTAAGGAAGAGCTGTCTCTTCTCCCACATTTATTTATTCAATTATTTGTATTAATATTGACTCATGGATGTTTATTCCATGGGTTATATCCAATACTATCATTATTTATTTTGTTTAAATTGTTCCAGCTTTGGACATTAGGAGATTGTTCACATTGGCTACTGTGTCCTTTATACATGTCCCCATTCTTTTTTTGAGCATTTCTTTATTTTCTGGCACCACCACATGTTCCAGGGTCATCTGTTATTTCCCTTTCCTAGCTCTGGAATCAATCACATCCCAAGGAACCCAAGTTCCTTTTATTGGAGAATGGTGTTTAGAAGTCAAGATCTGGGCACTAGGTGTGCTTATTGCTACTGGAGTGTTACTGCTTCTAGATCCTCTCAGCAGACAGAGCTAGAAAAAAAAAATATATATGTATAAAAAACCACACATCTGTATTTCTCTCTCTGTGTGTCTTTCATTTGCATATATACACACAAACTTGTGCATTTACACACTCAGGTGCAAGCACATACATGTACATACTATGGGTTCATACTGATAGCTTCCAATTCTAATCTAATACTGCAGGTGTATTCTAGCCTGCCTGCCTTATTTGTAATTTCTCTCTCACTGCTCTCATTAGCTACAATATATTTACTTATTTGTTCAATCCTAGTATATACCTAAAGGAGTTTTAAAGTGGTTAACCCATGCCCCGTGAGAAATGAATTTACTAACTAGATTACAGTATGTGTATGGAGGAACATATGCATTTTGAAATTGTTTTTACATCTGTTTCCTTTACACAGCAACAAATACATGAGAAGACCCATGTTGTTTGACTAAAATATGCTATCCATTTGAGCGATCAGAATTTGATCTAAAGTAAAATCCAGAGACAGTTGTTTAAAGTTACCTCTTCCAATGATTTAATAATATTTGGTATCTTAGTTTGAATTCCAAGTAATTTGAACTCATTAGAAAGTAAACATTTTCTATATCCTAGTTCCATTTCTTATAAAGAACTTAAATTATGAAAAAATAGTCACATAAGAATTGGATTTAATTTCTTATGCTTTAAAGTTTTTTTTAAGTGTTATGTTTTGTAGAACCCTCAATTGTGTAACTCTGTCAAATAGTATTTTACTGAATCTTATATGTGTTCTTCTAGAGTATCAGTAGAAATCAGGATATTATGAAGATTGGTTGCTCACTGTCTGAAGTTTGTCCCCATGCCAATTCAGTTTTTGGGAATCTTGATCCAAAGAAGGTGAGCCATATTCTTGGACATAATCATTCCATCTCTCCTCTTAGCTTTCTTATGTCTTAGATTTTATAGTTTTTGGACTATTTGCTGTATTTGAAAGGAAGAAGCAAATTTTTAGAATTTGTATAAACTAGTCATAATAAATGTATTCTTCCAAAAATACTTATGGACCATCTGGTATGTGCTAGGCACTGTGTTAAGCATTGAGTATTCAATGGTGAACAAAATAGAATCCTTGCCTTTGATACTGATTCAGAAAAAATCTTTATGTAGAACAGTTTGATCTTTTTTTTTCTTTTTTTTATTGAGGTATAACTTAAATACAGTAAAGTGTGTATCTCCTAAGTGTACAGCTTGATGAATTTTTACATATGTATGCGTCTATGTAATCACCACCCAAATCAAGATACAGTTCTGTCATCCCAGGAAATTCCCTCAGGCCCCTTCTCAGTTAACTCTTGGTTATTAGTTCCTCTAATAGAGGTAATCATTATTCTGACTTCTATCACCATAGATTCATTTGCCTGTTCTTATATCATACAGTATGTACTCATTTATAATATCTGGCTGCTTTTGTTTAGTGTAATTTCTGAGATTCATCCATATTATTGTGTGTATTTCTGTATTTGTAGTTTGTTCTGTTTCAAGCTATGTGATATTTTATTGTATAAATATACCACAATTTCTCTGTTCCTCTTTGATGGGCATTTAGATTGTTTGTGGGTTTTGGCTGCTGTGAATGAAACTACTGTGAAATCTTTAAACAAGCCTTCTGCTGGATGTATTATTTCTTTTGAATATATACCTAGGAGTAGAATTGCTAAGTCACAGAGTAGGCACATTTCACTTTAGTAGATAGTGGCCAGTTTGGCAAAAGTGTTGAACCGGTTTGCGTCCTTACCAAGAATGTATGAAAGTTCAGTTCTTCCATGTCCGTAACCAACTCTTTGCGTTGTCAGTCTTTTTAATTTTAGCTGTTTTGGTGGGGGTGTAGTGTTATTTTGTGATTTTAATTTCATGTTCCTGATGAGTACTGAGCTTGAGCATGTTTTCATAGTTTTATTTGCCATTTGGATATCCTCTTTTATGAATTGCTTGTTCACATCTTTTCCTCATTTTCAAGGTTGTCTTGATTGATTTTTAGGAAGTTCTGTATTCTTTGTGTATTCTGGATATGAATCTTTGTCTTATATGTGTGTTGCTAATGTCGTCTTCTAGTCTATGGCTTCCCTACTTAAGGGAATGGATATCATTTGAAGTCTAATATATTAATTTTTTTTTCTTTTTTGGTATGTGCTTTCTGTTTCCTATTTAAGACCTTTTTACTCACCCCATCATCATGAATATATTCTCCTATGTTTCCCCCCCTAGAAGCTTTTGCCTTTTGCATTGAGGGCTACGGTTTGCCTTCAGTAAATTTTTCATTATGATGTGAAGTAGAGGTCAAATTTAATTTTTTTCCATGTAGGTATCCAATTATGCCAGCACCATTTATTGAAAGGATCATTCTTTCTTTATTGCATTGTATTGGAATCTTTGTTTTAAATCAGGTGACTGTATTTGAGTGTTAACCATCTTTTTCAAAATGATAAATGCCTATAATCTTGGATGCATCAATTTCTCAGGCCAGGAATTTACCCTTTGGACATTTTTATAAGTACACAAAGATGTTTGTAAAAAAATGTTCATTGCAGCATTTTCAGTCATGCGTTGCTCAATGATGAGAATATGTTCTGAGAAATGCGTTGTTAGGCAATTTCGTCGTCGTGCATACATCATAGAGTGTACTTACACAAACCTAGATAGTATAGCCTCCTGCGCACCTAGGCTATATGGCACTAATTTTATGGGACCACCGTCATATATGCAGTCTGTCATTGACTGAAATGTTGTTAGGTGGTGCACGACTATTTGTAATAGGCACAAGTACGGGTTAACTAAATATCCTTCAATATATTACAGTAGTAATAGTAGTAGTAGTAATAATAATAATAATGATAGCTAGTGTTTATTGATTCTTAGCCTCTGTGAGGCAGTATTCTAAGCACTTTGCCTGTACTGACTCATTTAATCCTCATAGCAACCCTATGAGGCAGATGTTATTTCATACTTTTTTTTTTTGAAATCAAGGCACATCTAGGATAACTATGAAAGTCAACAGCTAGTTAATGGTGGATCAAGTATTTGGAGTCATAGAGCCCAGCTCCTTAACTGTTACCTTCTACCCTATATTGGAATAATTACTGAATTGTGGAAGATTCTTATTTTAGAATACTAACTAATCATTTTCAGGGCTGATACTAGGGTAAGAGTAAGGTAAGTGCAAAATTTAAGGAGGCATTAATGCAAGTGCAGTGTTGGTGCCTCAGAGTGAGTGCCTCTCCAAATTTTGCGTCGTCAGTACCTTACTTGCCTCACCCAGCTCCAAGCCCTGATTAAGTGAGAGAGGTAGATCTCTGTATTTTGATATGAAATTAGGTACAAAATAGTGTATGTAAAATGAGCCCATTTGTGTAAATAAACCATAAACATATATTCTAGTGTATATGTAAAATTAGTGTAAATGTAAAATTAAGGAGGTGCATGTTGAAGAGTGTTGGGAAGGAAGTCTGACTCGCAACCTTTTTTGATATACTTTGATTTTCTTTTAATAATGTGCCTCTATTAGTTTTATTTTAAAATAATTAAAACCCCAATGGCAAATAGAAAAATGTAAAAAGAAATTTAGAAACAAGGAAGGAATGTAGCTTGGAGCTAAGCATCAGAATGGATAAGGAATGCAATTTATAAAGTTTTTAGGGTTTTTTTTTAAGCATCCTTGTAGTCTATGACTGTGTTTAATAGTGTTATAAATTAAGACATACCTGCTTTTCCTGTTTTAAATGCAAAATAAATTACTTGCTTTGCAAAAAATTCAAACTAGTTTCAATAATAGACTTCTCATTATAAATAATTACTCAGCCACCTCTGATTGTCCATGAATGGATATTTTGTAAATTTTCTTTAGTGATTGAGTGGTTCTCTCCCTCTAACAATGTAGGCAGGTCATGGGCTATGAATAGTGGAGTTGTGAGAGGAGAAGATTGGACCAGGCAGAGTGGGAGTGAATCCATAGTTCTGACTATGTTCCAAAGACAAATATATCTATTTGGGATAGACTTGTGTTTATGATGGTTGTTGTGATTATTCACACTAACAGAGTCAAGAACTTCAGATTCCTCAAGTTGGTTTGGTCCCAGCTCTATTCTTGGGTACAAGTATCACTACCCACTCCCTAGGCAGAGTTGCAGTCACGTGCCACTTCTGTCTCTTGCCTTATATTGAATTGTTAATGATATTGGTATAGTATTACAAAGTCTTAACTAAAGATAATGTGACCTTTTCCAGAGTTTGAAATTGGATAGGACTGTTGATTATCAGCTATTTTTGCTACTAAAGTGGTTTGCTTGCTGAAAAATTAAGTAAGATGGTTGGGAGAGGGTACCATGCCATTATGCTCTCTCTTGCCCTGCAGTTGTTGAATGCTAGCTAAGGGAACCAGAGTTAAGTGCTAATTGAACACAACTATCCTTTGTAGCATTTGCTTTGTCAGACATCCATCTGTGTATCTGAATTGATTTGTACTTTGAGGATTTTTACATTTCATGCTGTATATTCCTTTTTTTTAAAAGATTGGCACCTGAGCTAACAACTGTTGCCAATCTTCCTTTTTTTCCCCCTGCTTTTTCTTCCCAAGTCCTCCCAGTATATAGTTGTATATTTTAGTTGTGGGTCCTTCTAGTTGTGGTATGTGGGACACCACCTGAGCATGGCCTGATGAGCGGTGCCATGTCTGCACCCAGGATCCGAACCAGTGAAACGCTGGGCTGCCACAGCGGAGCACGCGAACTTAACCACTCGGCCATGGGGGTGGCCCCAAGTATATTCCTTTTGCTTTAAAAAATCTGTGAATTTGTCCTAATTCATAGTAATACACTTAAAATTAATTTTATACTCTATCACTTGAAGCAGTGTTCCTCAACCTTTTTTTCATTATGCCCTTTGAAGGCATTTTTTTGTCTAATGGGTCTCCTCCTCCCAAAACATTTTAACACCACAGATATACTGTATATCTGTTTATGTTATCAAGTAGGGTTGAACTGTGGAGGGCTATGAACCATTATAATATCTAAGATTCCCCCCCACCCCTCAAGAACTAGTATTCACTCCCTCAGGGATAATATTTCCCCCATTGAGAATGTATGATTTTTTTGTTCCAATTTTAACTTACTTTCTCTATGTATGTGATAACAGATTTTTCATGTGAAACTGTCTAGAACTCCCCCGCCCTGAGTCCTAATGATCATACACAATTCAGGGAATTCCAGGGGTTTGCCAGCTGTAAGCCAGGAATCACTTTGACCAAAGGATATTCAAATGATGATTCATTTCATTGGATGTACTCTTGACAAAGTTCTTGGTGTCCTCCCTCAACTTCTTTATATATGGGTTCTTCATCAACTCTTCTTTGCTCTTTGATTCTGAGGGCTCCTCCAACTTGTAAACCTTTGGCCAAATTCATGGAGGCCAATGTTAATGAAGTCTTCCACATCACTGGCAACTGTGTAGTAATCTTCCTCCTCAAAGGCAAAAAAACAGCTCCATGTTCCCCAATCAAGAGGACCAGTTGTTTTTCAGGTGCCCGGCAAGGGAAATTAGGCACAGTACCAAGAACCTCCATCTTCTCAGGGTCTGGCAAGTACAAACTGCCAGAACTCCAGCATCTCCTTCTGGTCTGCATAAACGGTCTTTGCTAAATCACATATCTTTTTTTTGGTTTATTCATTTACTAGTTTCTTTGTTCTTTAACTGTATCATAAATGAATCAGTGATAACAACGTGATTGAGTAACAAGTATTAAAAGAAATATAATCTGTCCTATTTGGTTATTTTTAGAATACCTTAACTTTTTTGTGTGTATCATTACAGACCCATGACTTCTCAGCTTTACTCTGTGTCAGCCA